CCAGCGATCTCACACATTCGTGATACCTTTGTTGTCCTTACCAAAGAGGTATTTCCGAGTCTACAGGGATAACTACCTGTTGGCGTAACTGTGGACCACTCGGAGCTTCCACCGGAGGTGGACAATGGAGCAGTATTCAGCAAAGATTACTTGAAATATAAACTGACAAATAAGTTACATGGGAATATGCAATGACAGTGCATTTAGGCATATTCTGAAATTTAACCAGTAAATCGGATACTTGTAGACAAATCGCTAACTGCGGCGTAGCTTCGACATGCTTAATGTTGCTCACCGTCCAGAAGGGTTTCACTCGCTACCGCCTACATTCCTGGAGCCTAGACGTGCATGCCAGAAGGGTAGATATAGGCGTTCATCCACGCACTCAGAGAATCGGTACAACCATTGTTCTTAGAGCCATCGCTAAACTGGTCAAACGGATGGCTATGGTTCATGTGTTCTGGCTGGGCTGGCCAAACAATAATGGCTCCGCGAGAATTCGTTTCCTCAGTACCGACAGAAACACCTGCAGATGTATTTTTACAATCAAAAACTTCCCGGCCTATGGGCCATAGCATACGCTGGTAAACCGTGTGGGACCATGTGTGGTATTCTACTTCTGCACCACCAGCGGTGAAGACATCGCAGCTTATGTAAGAACACACTCAGTAAGGGGACGGACGCATTTGAGTAAGGTCATGCATTTTATGAATACTAATGACGATAGATGACTTGGGAATCTTTTAAAAGGATTGTTGAAAATAACTGAAAGGAACCTTCATAGAAATGATTACTGCCTACCCACATCCTTCGGGGCAGAGGTCAAGCGCAGTTCCGAGGTCGATTTATGAAACTGTAAAAGGTTACTAATAGAAGCGAGGAGACGAGTTCCAGGAAGCAGGATTCTCTTCAAGACTGTTAAACGTATTGTCACAATACAAAAACTCTTATCCTTGCATTTTATCATATACATCAGCTGGGAGTATTTTCTTATTTCAAATAGGAAGAATTTCTCATAAAGTGTGCCTTTTTTACTGAGTATAGCGATAGCTCAAAGATCAAAACCGGCAAAACACGAAAAGACGGAACTTTCAGCTATTTGCTTAAAACAGAACCCATGAGCAGCTTAATCAGCATTTTTAGAGTGAGGGAGTTGCGAAGTGTGTAAAGCAGCTTTGGTTGCAATGGTGCGTAGATTTT